GGCTCTGGCATCCGTAATGTAAGTAATCCGGATGGCGGTTCTTCTCTAGTAAATTTAAGAGTAGCGCTATTGGAAGTAACTCTCAAGCCAGGTGCCAAGTTCAGCTTCTCTGACTCATGGTTTTTTCGAAATGGCTCAATGTTAATTGAACAGATCAGCGCCACTAGTATAACATGTGACCCTTGATTACTTTTGAACCCTTGGATGTGAGGAAAAAACCTTTGTCCATATTGTCGGAAGTTTGACTTCTAAACTTCCTTCGATTAAAAATGGTGATTTTCCATGGCAAACTGTTAGTCATAACCAGATGGTAAACAATCTATGAGTATCCATTTAGATAGGAACACATTGGAAAACACATGAGATTTTCCAGCCATGTTTGATTACAGGCCGCCATGGCCAGGGCTTTGCCTGCCTTGCCTGCCGCTGTACCGAGGGGATGGTAACATCAAACATGTACCGAGGGAATGCCCATTCAGTTCGCGGATTTTCGAACCTTCACCCACCCCTGAAGAGATTCAATGGGTAGGTAGTGGTGGGTAGTGGTGTATAGGTAGTAGTAAGATAATGAAATCAAATGATATCTATTGCTTGAACTATTTTTCGCAACAACCTCAGCTGATTGAACTTCCCGTGATTCAGCGAGCACCTTTGAGAAGTCAAAACCTCGTGGGGTATGCACACTCTCATACATTTATGTACACCTGTGCGTGCATGAAGGTTATTGAACCTTAAATGTATGTATGTCTGTCTGTCTGTCTGTCGGTCTGTCTGTCTGTCTGTCTGTCTGTCTGTCTGTCTGTCTGTGTACGTATGTACGTATGTACGTATGTACGTATGTACGTATCTATGTATCTATGTATGGTATGTATGGTACGTATGGTATGTATGGTATGTATGGTATGTATGGTATGTATGGTATGTATGTATGGTATGTATGGTATGTATGTATGGTATGTATGTATGGTATGTATGGTATGTATGGTATGTATGGTATGTATGGTATGTATGGTATGTATGGTATGTATGGTATGTATGGTATGTATGGTATGTATGGTATGTTATGGTATGTATGGTATGTTATGGTATGTTATGGTATGTATGGTATGTATGGTATGTATGGTATGTATGGTATGTATGGTATGTATGGTATGTATGGTATGTATGGTATGTATGGTATGTATGTATGTATGTATGTATGTATGTTGGTATGTATGGTATGTATGGTATGTATGGTATGTATGGTATGTATGGTATGTATGGTATGTATGGTATGTATGTGTATGGTATGTGGTATGTATGGTATGTATGTATGGTATGTATGTATGTATGGTATGTATGGTATGTATGTATGTATGGTATGTAGGGTATGTATGGTATGTATGGTATGTATGGTATGTATGGTATCTATGGTATGTATGGTATGTATGGTATGTATGGTATGTATGGTATGTATGGTATGTATGGTATGTATGGTATGTATGGTATGTATGGTATGTATGGTATGTATGGTATGTATGGTATGTATGAATGTATGTATGAATGTATGTATGAATGTATGTATGGTATGTATGGTATGTATGGTATGTATGAATGTATGTATGTATGTGTGTATGTATGCATGCATGCATGTATGTATGTATGTATTTATGTATGTATGTATGTATGTGTGTATGTATGTGTGATGTATGTGTGATGTATGTATGTATGGTATGTATGGTATGTATGGTATGTATGGTATGTATGGTATGTATGGTATGTATGGTATGTATGGTATGTATGGTATGTATGGTATGTATGGTGTGTATGGTGTGTATGTTATGCATGTTATGTATGTTATGTAATGTTATGTTCTGTTATGATATGTTATGCTATGTAATTTCATGTCATGTTATGCCATGTTATGTCATGTTATGTCATGTTATGTTATGTATGTATGTATTGTATGTATTGTATGTATTGTATGTATTGTATGTATTGTATGTATTGTATGTATTTTATGTATTGCATGTATTGCATGTATGGCATGTATGGCATGTATGGCATGTATGGTATGTATGGTATGTGTATGGTATGTATGTATGGTATGTATGGTATGTATGGTACGCATGGTATGTATGGTACGTATGGTACGTATGGTATGTATGGTACGTATGGTATGTATGGTATGTATGGTATGTATGGTATGTATGGTATGCATGGTATGGATGGTATGTATGGTATGTATGGTATGTTTGGCATGTATGGTATGCATGGTATGCATGGTATGGATGGCATGTATGGTATGTATGGTATGTATGGTATGTATGGTATGTATGGTAGGTATGGTAGGTATGGTACGTGTATGGTACGTATGGTACGTATGGTACGTATGGTACGTATAGTACGTATGGTACGTATGGTATGTATGGTATGTATGGTATGCATGGTATGCATGGTATGCATGGTATGCATGGTATGCATGGTATGCATGGTATGTGTATGTATGGTATGTATGGTATGGTATGTATGGTATGTATGGTATGTATGGTATGTATGGATGTACGTGACGTACGTATGTACGTATGTACGTGTGTAGGTATGTAGGGATGTAGGGATGTAGATATGTAGGTAGGTAGGTAGGTATGTAGGTATGTAGGTATGTAGGTATGTAGGTATGTAGGTATGTAGGTATGTAGATAGGTAGGTATGTATGTAGGTAGGTATGTATGTATGTATGCGTCTATCTATCCATCTATCTATCAGTCTTTCTGTGTATATGATCATTTATGTTTCTATGTTTATCTATGTATCTGTGTATCTATTTATGATTATTTATGCATGTGTGTATGTGCGTATATGCATCTGTGTATGTGTATGTGTGTAAGTGTGTAAGCATGCATGCATGCATTCTTACATATAAACCTCTATCGTTACATGCGTATGGAATACAAATGAAACTAACCATACACAAACATATGTCTCACTGCATTCTGCTACCTCAAATTCAACACATTTAAGGTTAGAAGAAGAACAAAGTAAAGACGGCAGAAGCAATCAGTTCTATTAGAGGGAGAAGTAGGCTCTAAAGAGAATCCTGAAAACGTGGTAGAGCTACATACTGATTCGTATACATATGTAATTATGCATTTACAAGAATCACCCTGCTTGGAGGATCCCCGCAGGTAGGAAGTAGTAAGTGATCCTGGCTTGCAAGTTGCTATTATTTCATTGGTGTTATTCCAACGGTCGTCAGGTAGTACCCGAACACAAAGTGATCTATCTCAACCATGCGTACCTTCCGGTAATCAAAGATGGCAATGGAAAACAATATATTGCTAGATGATCTGATCTTCCCATTAGCAGCTCCATTGGGGACTGCCCCACTGGTATCCACTGGTCATGTTTGATGACACCGGGTTTGGTATCCCTACTTCTCGATGCAAACAGGAGACATTGAACTCCTCTTTGTCGATCCATCCATTCTGATCTTTGTCGAAGACTTGGAACCAGTCGCTAATGACCATATACCTGGCGAAATGACATCCAAACCTGGCGCAAAAAAAAAATGCTGCGGAAAATGTGTGGGGGTCATCTGGCCAGGGCAATACCGAAAAAATGAACCACCAGCCAAACCGCCCATAAATCAGAATCAAGAAGCAAAGGCTAAATACACACATGCGTGAACACAGTGAACTCGAAGAAAACTTGGAACAAAAAGAACAAGAAGAAACCAGAAGGAAGAAAAACACAAGCAAACAGAAATCACAATCTCATAGGAATAAAATGCTCAGTCTTGGATACTATGCGACTTGTTTGAAGCCGATTAGTTCAGTTTCATCCATATTCAGCTTTATGATGGTAAACGAAACATATGCCAAAGTAATCCCATCCCCAAAGTATATGGATGTTTAACAAACCGTTCTATGGTCCCGAATATATGTAAATCCCCAAACAAAATCATGGTTTCTGGGTGTATACTATCCATGTCCCAAGGGTGTCCTCCCACATCCCTGGAGCACAAGCCGTTGGCTTTTTTAGAGGCAGGACTTAAGTCTGGAGGCACCTGCTGGACCATCTCTGTGAACCCAGTGTGCAAATCAGTGGGTTTAACATGGTTTAACTACCAAAAACGTTGAAACAGGTTGAAATATGTAGATTCAACCAAACATGTCAAAAAAATGGTGTTTAACCAGTGGCACATAGTGGAACCTCCAACCTGACATATCTAACATTCATGGCAACAACTACTGAGTGATTTCGGGGGGACCTGGGCCCTTGAAGTAGGGATTGTTTCGATTGTCCCACCAGCATGTTTCCAGTGGATAGTGAACGTGTTTAGGTGTCAATAGCAGCAATAGTACCCTGGCTGATTTTTTTTGTCATAATTCATCAACCTGAAAAAAGGTCACCGGACAGATTCTTTTTTTCCGCAGCTCATAATGCCCGTATAAATGTGGACGTGTACTTAGAAAATCCAGCGTTTTCCACATGAAAAAAACGCACACTTTGGATCTTCGAACATCAGGGAAATCAAGATTGGATAAGATTGGGATATTCTAAGTGTATCACTTCGAACATCAAAAGCAAGAATCCAACACTTAGAACATCGACACATTAAAACATGCATTTTGACCCAGGGAAAAAGTGGTCTGTTGTTTGTTCTAAGTGGTCTGATGTCTCGTTTATTAAAAATTATCACCCACCTGCACATACATCCCTCAATTATTCCAAAGTTGGGATTTTGGAGGGGGAATGATTTTGAACTTAGATCTTATTTTTGACACTGGAATCCACTGGAGTCATCATCGAAAACCATGGGGGCTGTCCAAACATTCCGGGACAACGCACATCAAAGCGCAGAAATGAGTGGTTTGAAACATTCCTACACTCACCTGCGTTTTGGAAGGTTTTGCAAAATTGCATTCTCCATTACTATTAGTGGAGTAAACAAGCACTTACAGTAGAACATCGCCATGTGCACAACTGATGTGGCACCCTTAGAACTTTGAACTTTCCTGCGCAATTTGGGGAACTTTCCCGCAAAAATTGGGAACTGCGGTTTCCGCATTTTCATCATTTTTCCGCATGATGTTCTTTCAGTGGTTGACCGTCACTATCAGCACAGGGTGCACCTCCTTTGACTTCGTAGCTTCACGGCCTTGCGAAGAAAGCTCTGGCTCTTTGGTGGTTTTTCATTACTCGCCAGGGCAATAAGACTGTGCATATATACATACATACATATACTATAACTATAATGAATATCTACATTGTCGATCTAAAGTCCCTACACTAAGAACAGTTTGTATATATATATATATAAATATAATCCTCTCAAGTTGCTTCAAACCCCCTTGGGGACCATTTAGAACCCAAAAATGGGTTCTAAAATGGAATCTACAAGGGGGGTCTTAGAACCCAAAATTTTTGGCAGCTATTCCGTTTTTGGGTTCTAAAATGGGTTCTAAAATGGTATCTTCCACCCATAAAAAAAATCATTTAAAATCATCCGAAACTTGATATACCCGATGATGCACTCATGCGTCAAACTCTTCAACATCTTCACTTCTTGTAATGGTCCAGTGTTTCCAAATCAACTGTTGGTATTATAGACCAATGCTGAAATATCATGAAATAGCATGACATAGCTGTATTTCTCTTCAACGTTGTTAAGGCCTTATTTGATCTTATTTGACCTTCTGTGTATGGAGCTACATCTATGCGTTCTGAAATGGAATCCATGAGCCACAAATGTTGAATCACACTTTGGTACATGAAGGAAACCATTTTAGAACCCTTCCCTCCTCTCCACAAGAAAAATTGGGACATTCCAGATCAATGTGATTCCAAATCAACTGTTGGTATTATAGGACAATGCTGAAATATCATGAAATAGCATGAAATAGCTGTATTTCTCTGTAACGTTGTTAAGGCCTTATTTGATCTTATTTGACCTTCTGTGTATAGAGCTACATCTATGTCTTCTGAAATGGAATCCATGAGCCACAGATGTTGAATCACACTCTGGTACATGAAGGAAACCATTCTAGAACCCTTCCCTCCGCTCCACAAGAAAAATTGGGACCTTCCAGATCAATGTGTTTCCAAATCAATTGTTGGTATTATAGACCAATGCTGAAATATCATGAAATATCATGACATAGCTGTATTTCTCTGTAACGCTGTTCAGGCCTTATTTGATCTTATTTGACCTTCTGTGTATAGAGCTACATCTATGTGTTCTGAAATGGAATCCATGAGCCACAGATGTTGAATCACACTTTGGTAAATGAAGGAAACCATTCTAGAACCCTTCCCTCCTCTCCACAAGAAAAATTGGGACATTCCAGATCAATGTGTTTCCAAATCAACTGTTGGTATTATAGACCAATGCTGAAATATCATGAAATAGCATTAAATAGCTGTATTTCTCTGCAACGGTATTATAAAATATATTATACTGTATTATACAAGCTTCCAAGGTTCTACAATGCTTACGGGACCGGAGGTTCTACAATGATTTTTTTTCATTCTAGAACCCTCCGTGTTTATCCCCAGGGGGGGGCATTCTAGAACCTTCCAACTTGAGGGTATTAAATGTATAATAATAACAATAATAACAATAATTTATATCTTAGATAGTAGCTGTACATGCTGTACTATGTTCAGGTATAGTGATGGAATATAGTAGCAATAATCAGAACAAAGACTGCAACCACGATAAACACATTCTGTTTGCATGGTCATAAGTCATAAATAGTCATAAGCCTAAGCAGCAAGCGCTTCCCAACAGCATCCCCCAAGGCCTCCATGGGGGCTAAGATCCAGAAGCAAATCGCCAGCGGGTGCCATGACCTGCGTTTGCACTTTTCCCAGATGTGGCCGATGCCATGCCGCCAGGTTCTCGGACATGGTGCACGTGAAATCCTGGGAGCAACGGTTTTCCCAATGGACCAACGCCAGGGCCAGGGCGAGCCTTTTTTTTGGGGCAGTTTCAAGTGACAGAAATCATCTTTGCTATGGAAAATGCAATGGAAAATCCTGAAAATGAATATAATGAAGTAAGCGCACCAAGTGATTAAGTCTTGTGGCCCAATGGCTCTCGTCATCAGCTTGAAACCCTGCAAAAAGGGAAGATCCAAACAAGGATACAGAAAAAATGTGATCACCCTATGCCCAGGCTGATCCTATATAATGGCTAGGATGGGTCAACCTCACCCGTGATAAAAATCACAGCCAGGCTTCCAGCTCGTCTTCACTCTCTGAAAGGACTCCTGAGTACGCGGCGTTGAGACTGACCCGGGGGTTGGAAACAAAAAAACTGACATTCTGCTGAACCAAAAAGGACTTTGTGTCCCTGATACTAGTTGCAAGTGACCTAGACCCTGGTGATAGTTGGATGACTTGGATGTAAACACCAATTTTTTGGCAAGTGAAAAACGATCCCGGTCAGCAATTGACTCGCTGACTTTGGTATTCCTATTCATAACTGAAACACGGGTTCATTATACAACATCTTATAACTTATAACTTTAAACATATATTATAACTGGACTTTCGCCACTTCCACAACACGATTCACATCTTCTCTCCGCGGAAGTTTTCTTTTCCTCACCGCAGCCGCAAGCGCTGTCAGACTCAAGGGGCACATCTCGCCGCCTCAGGCGTTCTCCCGGCCGATCAAACGCCACAAGGGACCACGACTGGACAGCCACCTGGCGAACGCTTCCCACAAGTGTCCCACAACGAGATGGCAATGAAACGGTTTTTAAACATACCACCCAACCCAGTTTTAGAGAGGTTGTACTGTACTGTCCGGAAACCTAACTGAACCGTTCGCAGGTAGGGACATCTAAAAATAGCCAATCATTTATATACTCTGACTTTTGTGATGTTATATTTTATGGATTTTGCGAGTGTGTTTTCTGCAGAGATGTAGGCCGCAACATGCTACCTTCTTGAAATTTACGTGCATGTAAATTTCCAACAAGAAAGCCTTCTTTGGATGCCCTCATATGCCTTCACACTGATTGGTCGCAGATCCCATGTCAATAGTCAGGGCATCTTTCAGTGAACCTCCCTCATACAGAATCACATGCACAGTTTCCCAACGCTGCTTCAACGATATGAATTTACTGTAGGGGACTCGGGGACCACGCACAATGAACACTGTTTCCAGAAGATTCTTTACATGATGGATTTGCCAATGCGAAAATACACATAAATTTAATCGTGATCAAATCCAAGATGAACGGTTCTTTGAAAGCGTTCTTTGCGCACATCTAGCACGCCTGACGTTGGTGCCATCAGGAACCAAGCGTCCGGAAGCCTTGTGGTCATGATATTCCTCTCATCGGGGGTCGATGGATTGAGCTTCAGTGGCAGTCTAGATAACAGCCCCGAAAAAAGAAGAAATCACACACGCAAATGCACACTCACCTTTGCAGTCAAAGCTGCACTTCACAGAAACAACACGGAATCACATGCTATCCAAAAAACAACCTGCCATAGTCATGATTCAAACTCCTTCAAATGCGAACAGGTGCAACTAACAAAATGCTTCGTTTTCCCAAGAAATACAAACAAGCAAACCTCTTGGGACTCCGGGTTCTGGCAACCAAGCAAAGCAAATGTACCAAGGCACACGCAGTATTTTGCAGAATCTTAAGCATGTAGTATTGTCAGCTCACTAACATTAGTTGGTATGACAAAAATTTCCTTTCAGCAGTTCAGTGCATTTCCGTCCTTCTTGGTGTACTTGGTGAAGCCAAACTTGTTGGACACGTGCACCTTCTGGCGCCCTGCAAACTTGGCGCTGGCGCGTCTCAAAGCTTCCACAGCAAACTGGATCTTCTCTTCCTGGCTGGCTGGAGACCGGGCGACAACACAGGAGGCATGTTGATCAACAAGTGAAACTGAAAGACGGGCCAACAAATCCCACAACGAATTGGACACTGAGTACCAAACAATCATCAAAAATAAACATTTTGTTTTTGTTGAGATATTTACCCAAGACACACACACACAAGCACACGAACTCAGTTTTGGGAACTGTGACGCTGGACTGGACTTGATGTGTTTTTCAGCTTGTGATGACCAAGCCACATCCCGCTGTCCACACCAGGAATCAATAGGTGGTTCATGGCCATCAGCCCGGGTCATATATACATAAGATCTCTTTGCAAATATATTCTGCGATATTAGGTCAAGTGGCACCCAGTTGCCCTGCTACACCTCACCCAAACTATAAGAAATTTCATAAACAACTTCGACGGTTCTATCATTCTTTTGCGGTACATCGGATGGACAACCAATCCATACCCCCAACCATCCCCCAACCTTCCAGTCCTTGAAAACTGGAAGGAAAAAGTGCTGGGAACACCCAACAGATTTGATTGATGGCCAAGGAAACTGAAACACCATGAAACACCTGGTTTCCTGCCATTTTGTTCCGTAAACATCTATCCATTTGGAGCCCTAACGCCCCCATATTTCCCGCTTAAACCTGGTTCAACCCACACACTATTGTGCTAGTAAAATCCGCAAATTTGGTTACTTATGGTTACTCAATATTACTTAGTTACTTCATCCGTTTCTTGGGTGAATTGTCATCATTCGCATAAAACTAAAAAAACACATCGCGTCGCCCTCATGCCACAGCAACAGCAGGACTGCACTTCAAACAGAAGATCGATGTATGGAACCAAAAGATCACTTTGGGATAGTTGCACATGGATGCCCAAGTTACCCTTGCTATTTCCAATGTCTATATCATTTCAATTGCGACGTCGCAACCATTGATGCATGTTGAACCTTGCACTCACCATATATGTAAATAAAAATAATATACAAAGGATTGCAAAGGTATATTCCTCATGTTTCTTCATCAAATCCATTTTCTCTGATTTTTAACATTTTTTTCCAGCAAAACCCTGCCCTTTTCCGGTTGTTTCTCCTCAGCCCAGCTGGTCCTTGGTTCGTAGCGAGATCAGCACCTGCCCAATGTCCACCCGCGCGGCGGTGCCGTAGGGCTTCCCAAAGGCGCCCCGCATGCCGCTGGACAAACGATCCGCGCCAGCGCAGGACCTGGCCCCGTGGCCACCAGGGCACGTTTCGGGTTACCCCGGGGAACCGTTGTGGAAAACACCTTATGGCACCAGGGTTTGTGGCTATGCCTAAGCGTTGAGATGTGGAAAACCCCTATGGTTTTTGCTGGGAAAATGATTTGCAATACATGCATGGTAGGGGTTTTCCACATGGAATTGTTTTAATTTTGCCGTTACAGGAGGGTAGTAGATTATAAAATAGAAAAGTTATGATGTTTATATCAGTATAATATTTAGATGAATAGATCCATATATGGTGAGATAGAATTTGTTACAGTATAAGATCATAGTCATCCTGGAGATAAAATATGGACGTTTCCAAAAAAACAAAAATGAGAATATCTTTGAAAAAAAAAACATATATTCCTACTTCAGGATGATTGTATATCCATAATTGGGATTAGCACCGGGATGATGTTCTGATGGACTTTGATGATGATGAATTGGGAAAATCCATACTTTGGATCGTATTACCTTCCAGTAAGCCAACATAGCTATGGAACATTGCCCATTTGGTTCCATGATGTTCGATGACTTACCTATTAAACACGGTTTTTCCATAGCTGTGTTACATTACCAAAGGGAATATCCATAATTGGGATTACAACTGGGATGATAAATAAATAAATATATATGGATAAATAGGGACCATAACATACCATAACTATTTGAAGTGGATTTTCATAACCGGGGTTGAAAACAATGATGGTGTAAATTGACTGTACATTGAATGTTGGGATTAGGGGTACTAATATCCACTAATCAACGTCCAACATTCCACACAAATAGCAGACTACATGCAGTACGAAACACCAACCTTTACATCCCTTTAGATATGATATGTCCTGAATGATCGGCACGGCACTATCTCCAGCTTCCCCGACGCCGCCAGTGCCATGAAGAGATTGGTTTCACAAACCCCATTAGCGGCTATGCTCGCACACGCACACACACCTACATGCACGTAACACAAAAAAACAATGCATAGGTATGAACAAAAGCACCGATGATGTTGGCAATGTTCCATTACAAACTCAAGCTCCCAATACTTGTTCACAAAAAATAACCCGGCAAGAGACCCATAACAGTGTGGGGGAGTGTGAGGATAATGTATGAGAATGTGGATGATGATGATGATGATGATGATGATTGGATGATTGGATGATTGGATGATTGGATGATTGGATGAGGCTGAGGATGAGGAGGAAAATGTTGCAGAGGATGATGTCGCGGAAGAGGAGGTGGAGGATGATGATGTGGAAGATGATGATGCTGAGGAGGATGAGGATGAGGATGATAATGCGGAAAATGAAGTTGAGGATGAAAAGGTGGAGGAAAGCCGGAAAGGACCTAAAAGCATCAGTGGATGCAAGCTAGCAGGACAAGAGCGACCCTAGTAGTGACAAGAAGAGATAGCAGGTAAGATTCTGCAAGTTCCCTTTGTGAAGATCTCTGTAGAAGATCGTGCGCAAGATCTCCTTGACAGGTTCTCTGTAGAAGCGGCTGTGCAAGATCCCTCTGTAAGGCTATCTTGGGAGATCTCCGCAAAAAGATCCTTGTAAGTGATCTCAAAGAGTAAGATCTTTGTTCAAACTACCTAAAAAATGATCTCCAAGCAAGACCTCTGCTCCCTTCACCAGGCCTCCGCATACGATCTCCATAAGAGGTCTCCTGGCAACATCTGTGCAAGATCTCTAAAAGAGCTCTGTTGGCAAAATCTCTGTAACAGACCTCATGGCAAGATCTCTGCACAGATCTCTGTAAGAAGTGTCTTGGCAAGACCTCCTGGACAAGATCTCTTTATTTGTGAGATCCCTGCCCAAGCTCTCTAAAAGAGATCTCTTGGCAAGATTTATGTAAGAGACCTCTTGGCAAGATCTCTGCAACAGGATCTCTACGCAATGTCATGTACAAGAGCTCCATGAGAGGTCCCCTGGCAAGATTTCTGACAAAATCTCAAGAAGAGCTCGGTCGGCAAGTGAGCACAGAACGCAGACACACACACACACACACTTTGTGCGAGGCTGCGCAGTCGAAATGCACTTGGACATTTGACAAGAGCCACTTCAAAAGAAATTTCAGAGAACGAGCAAATGTGGTGGATTTTGATTTTGCCACTTCATGCCACTTCAAGTGGCGTGCCACTTCGAGTGGCGTATGCCACTTCAAGTGGCGTGCCACTTCGAGTGGCGTATGCCACTTCAAGTGGCGTGCCACTTCGAGTGGCGTATGCCACTTCAAGTGGCGTTCCACTTCGAGTGGCGTATGCCACTTCAAGTGGCGTGCCACTTCGAGTGGCGTATGCCACTTCAAGTGGCGTTCCACTTCGAGTGGCGTATGCCACTTCAAGTGGCGTGCCACTTCGAGTGGCGTGCTGACTGTGTAGCCTTCGCGTTCCGAGTGGCGAAGTCCCAATCGTAGTGGTAGTGGTAGTGGTAGTGGTAGCGGTAGTGGTATAGTGGTAGTGGTAGTGGTAGTGGTAGCAGTAGCAGAAGCAGAAGCAGTAGCAGTAGCCGTAGCAGTAGCAGTAGCAGTAGTAGCAGCAGCAGTAGTAGTAGTAGTAGTAGAGGAGTAGTAGTAGTAGTAGTAGTAGTTGTAGTAGTAGTAGTTGTTGTTGTTGTAGTAGTAGTAGTAGTAGGAGTAGGAGTAGGAGTAAGAGTAGCAGTAGCCGTAGCCGTAGCCGTAGCCGTAGTCGTAGTAGTAGAAGTAGTAGTAGTAGTAGTAGCAGTAGTAGAAGTAGTAGTAGTAGTAGTAGTTAGTAGTTAGTAGTTAGTAGTTAGTAGTAGTTAGTAGTTAGTAGTAGTTAGTAGTTAGTATAGTCGTAGTAGGTTACAGTAGTCGTAAGTAAGATAGAGTCGAAGTAGTCCTAATATAAAGTATGAGTAGTAGTTCGGGTAGTAGTTCAAAATCAAGTCTGTAGTTTAAGTGTGCGTAGTAAAGGTAGTAGTTAGGTGGCAAGTTAGTGTAGTATTATAGTAGTTAGTCGTTCGTAGTTAGTTCGTTTCGTCGTCGTTCGTCGTCGTTCGTAGTTCGTATTTCGGTCCGTCAGTTCGTTCGTCGTTAGTTCGTCGTCGTCGTGTATTCTGTCGTTCGTCTTGTTCGAGTAGTAGTTCGTAGTAGTTAGTAGTTAGTAGTAGTCGTAGTAGTAGTTGGTAGTAGTTGTCGTAGTTCGTAGTTCGTTCGTCGTAGTGTAGTTGTAGTAGTTCGTCGTAGTTCGTAGTCTATAGTAGTCGTTTAGTAGTAGTCCGTTATTAGTAGTTAGTGTAGTTGTCGTTCGTAGTCGTTTTCGTCGTTAGTAGTTTAGTTAGTAGTAGTAGTAGTAGTATCGTCGTCAGTTAGTCGCAATCGTTGTCGTCGTCGTCGTCGTCGTAGCCATCGTAGTCGTAGTCGTAATGTCCCACCGTGAGCATGCCACTTCATGCCACTTCAAGTGGCGCATGCCACTTCAAGTGGCGTGTCGCACCGTGAGCATGCCACTTCATGCCACTTCAAGTGGCGGATGCCACTTCAAGTGGCGCATGCCACTTCAAGTGGCGTGTCGCACCGTGAGCATGCCACTTCATGCCACTTCAAGTGGCGCATGCCACTTCAAGTGGCGTGTCGCACCGTGAGCATGCCACTTCATGCCACTTCAGGTGGCGTGAAGTGGCAAAATCGGTTTACGCACCTCCTGCGTGCTCAATGAGAAATTTACAGGAAAAATGCCGCAGACCAGCTGGATAGCAGAAGCGGGACCCGCACTTTGCGCGAGCCTGCGCGGTCGAAATGCATTTCATCCTTTCAATGCGCATTCGACATGCATGTCAACATTCCACAAGAGCCACTTGATACGGACATTTACAAGAAAAATGCCGCGGCCCAGCTGGATCCCAGAAGCGGGACCCGCTCTTTTTGCGAACATTTCACAAGAGCCACTTTACACGGAAATTTACAGGAAAAATGCTGCAGCCCAGATTGAGCCCAGAACGCAGACAGACACTTTGTGCGAGCCTGTGCAGTCCAAATGCATTTGGAGATTTCACAAGAGCCACTGAAATTTGCAGGAAAAATGCCGCGGCCCAGCTGGAGCACCCTGATATACCCTGATCAAGCACCGGCCTTTACAACTACCGTAAGAACCCCCGAGTGTGGACACACTGTTTTGGGAAAAATTCTGCAAAAAGTGTCGTGATTTGCCTGAAATGGCCTCGGTAGAGATTACATCAAATTACATCATGCCAACCCTAACAAGGAACATCTCACACATGGCTGTCTCAGCTTGGTCTTTCGAAGTTGTAGATTACAAACATTTACAAACGCTAAAAGTGTTGTGAACCATACAGCGAACGTGATGACGGAACCTTTTCTATACTCGAAACATCTCGAAATGTGTTGAAATACTGATACCAAACGAGTCAGACTGGCAAGGTCTTGTTGATGCGCAGCACGTTGAAGGGATGAGGCCGGATTCGAATGTGGAAGAAATCCTTTCCAGCGTTGGTCGCCATGTACCTACAAAAACCGGTGCTGCCAACACCGCTGAAGTCGGAAATGCGATATGCATCGAAATGCCAATATCCTTCGTCCTTCTTTAAGGAGCACCGGCTCATATTACTTGAACCTATCCAGTGCAATAAATGCACGCTAAATATTTGATTTTCCAGAAAGACCCATCAAGAGTCAAGGCTGTCAATGAATTCTTCTCCATCTTCGTTTTACAGGGTCCAACCAATCCCTGAATGAACCCCCATCGGGAATCATGAGCTTGGCCCTGCTCTCACGTGCAGCTGGTTGTCGCACAAGAACAAACTGAAATTACATGTATATAATGTGATAAACCCAAGACCTAACATTTGAGGATGGTTTCAACCCAACCCATTTTAATATTGGGGATGGTGTGCTTTTTGGCTTTACCGTGGCCTACCACATGCCAATTGCCATCAATGTCACCTGCAAGGCTTCACTGGCTCCCTGAATTATCCCCCGTATGGTTTGTAATCATAACTAGATATATTAAATATATTCAAATATATTCTAGATACATCAAATAGATTCATATAATAGTTGGCATATCATATTATATAGTAGTTGGCCCCCTAAGCATGATACCGTCCATACCTGTATGGCTTCCTCTCAAATATACCCTGAATGCCAATTTCAATGCAGAAAATGGAGGAATTATGGAATGGATGGGGATCCAAAGTTTGTGACAATACCATATATTCATTATAACCAGTGTGCATATACAAAAAAAATACAGCATATTACAGCATCGATATGCCGTGCGTATATATTATTATATTATATATATATATGCACAAGTACCAGTAGCATCCTGTATCATCCTGTATCTATGTATCCATGTATCCGTGTATGTGTGTATCTCTGTATCTATCTATCTACGAATCGATCGATCGATCGATCGACCTATCTATCTATCTATCTATCTATCTATCTATCTATCTATCTATCTATCTATCTATCTATCTATCTATCTATCTATCTATCTATCTATCCTATCTATCCTGTCTATCCTGTCTATCCTATCTATCTATCTTATCTATCTATCTTATCTATCTATCTTATCTATCTTATCTATCTATCTTATCTATCTTATCTATCTATCCTATCTATCTATCTTATCTATCTATCTTATCTATCTATCCTATCCTATCTATCTATCTATCTACCTATCTATATATCGATCTATCGATCTATCTATCTATCTATCTCTCTATCTCTCTATCTATCTATCTATCTATCTATCTATCTATCTATCTATCTATCTACTGTATCTATCAATTTAAATATCTAATCCAATCTAATCTAATCCAATCAAATCTACTCTTATAAACCAATCAAATCTAATCCCACCCAATCTAATCCAGAATCTAATCCAATCTAATCTAATGTTGTATCCTGATTAGTGTCTAGGTTCGCTATTGTGGCCAACATTTTCCAAAATATTCAGGGCCCCTGCAATGTTTGGAAGGTTCACTATTGTGGCAAGAATTCTTGGGAGATATTTTTTTTCGTCCACAAGATGTTTGTGTAAAAAAATCTGAACATTTTTTCTCACAAAAACACTTGCTTGTCTCCCTGTGCCAAAAGAATCATACCGCTTATTAAACCCTTATGAAAGAACAGTTTTTCCAAAAACTTCCAAGGCACTGGGCCATGAGGGGGCCCAGTTCACTTTAGCAGGTTTGTTCTCAGGGTTCTTTGTTCTCAGGGTTCACAATTGCAGCAAGCTTTTCCAGAGCTGATACTGGAGCCAAAAGAAGCAAGACACACATTTTTACAAATTTCTTTCTCTCTCTCTCTCTCTCTCTTTGTTCCTCTTCCTCTTCCTGTTTCTGTTCTTCCTTCTCTTCCTCTTCCTCTTCCTCTTCCTCTTCTTCTTCTTCTTCTTCCTCTTCCTCTTCTTCTTCCTCTTCCTCTTCCTCTTCCTCTTCCTCTCTCTCTCTCTCTTTGTTCCTCTTCCTCTTCCTCTCTCTCTTTCTCACTCTCTCTCTCTCTCTCTCTCGTCTCTTTCTCTTTCTCTTTCTCTTTCTCTCTTTCCCTTTCTTTTGTTATTTCTCTTTCTCTTATTACACTTTGAATTAAAAAAAACTTAAGGTGGAAAAGGTAATGCAATCAACATGCTGAACCCCACTCACTACTGTTCTTTAGTAAGGGTTTAATAAGCGGTCCGATTCTTTTCGGAAAGGTTTGGACTTTGAACTTGGCAATTGCTTTTGTAAAAGGTTTTTCGTTCTTCTCTTAGCTCCAGAATTAGCTCTGGAAAAAATAGCTGCAATTGTGAACCCTGAGAACAAACCTACTAAAGTGAACTGGGCCCTCTCGTGGCCCAGTGCCTTGGAAATTTGTGGAAAAACAAGGTATATACTACAAGTACTACAAATATCACAAGTTCATCAGCAAAAAAAACAATATGTTTTAATTAATTAGATTTCAATTGTCGCCAATTGAAATCCTTACTGAAATGCGGGATCGGGAGGAGTTTTTTGACACCCAACCTTAAAGAGGGTATAGCTATTGTTTGAGGGGGGGTACACGCAAATCAGGACGAAACATTAATCTGATTTAATCAATCAAAATCCAATAAGCAATAACAACATCTAATGTATCTATGCAGCTAGGGCCCAGGGGGCCCTTCACCAAGGCACTTGTTCACCGCGATACGCGCCGCCTCCAACGCTTCGGCGGTCAACTGCTGATCTTCGTCACAAACCAAATGCGCCGCGGCCGGGAACTCGTCGCAGGGCATCTTCTTCTTTCCTGGTGAAGTCACAGGGATTACCCTCCAGTATCCAATAAGATTACCATCTGGTTATTTAACAGTTTGCCATGGAAAATCACCATTTCCAATAGGTAAACTATGTATAAATGGGCCATTTTCCATGGCTATGTTAAATAACCAGAGGGTAATTCATGTGCTATGTTCATAAGACATGGGAAAATCCTCAACTATTTTTGGTCATCAATAGCATTTTTGTTCCATATCCAATTTTGTGAAGTTCCATGTTGGATTTTACAGAGGTTTTCATGCTACACACCCTCGGTTCCCCGGAACCCCACAACATCATGATTTAGGAATCTCTATGTTCAGATCCCATGCTACATCATAAAGGCTGTTGATCTGCGATTAGAAGCGTCTCACCTGGCAAGGGGTCAACAACCCTGGTCAAAAACAAGTGAAGTGAAGCTTTCCCAGGTGTGCCCCACAAATATCACAAGTCAAAAGGTCTGGAGCAGTTTCCGTTCTCAAGCGGATTGCCCAAAATGTTCAACCATGTGGGTTTCTCTGAACATTCATTATATGCATTGATCATTACCACGAAAATCCCATGGTGTATCATGATGTGGTAAAAATCCCATTATGTTTCAGTCTTCCCCATTGCCAGGTGATGGCAGGTGGCCCACATCGAAAATGCGGATCTTGGGGTCTGGAACGCCACGGCAGTAGCGGGTCTTGGGGTAGGGCTTGTTCCTCGGCTGCCGGCTGTGGCCGATTTCATGGCCGAAATGCACTGTGCACATGTTCGGTCTCCGGGTGGCGTGTATTTAAAATGCCTCTGTAAACCTGTATATAATTGTATATATATATATGTGTGTATTTTGGATGATTTTGGGTGTTTTGGCAATGTGTATGTTTGATTTTGTTTGGCGCATTTACGAAACAATGCTTGCTGAAGAAGTGTGTTTTTTTTATTGTTGTTTTTTAATGTGTTTGGCACCTGTGTCTTGCCCAGGCCTTTTTTGTCACCCCCGACAGGGCACCTGTGTCGTGTGCAGGTGTCTTTGTACAACGCGCGTGTGGAAATCGGATGAATATATGGAGCGCGGATGTATTGTGTAACCGCATGTGTGAATCTGAACATATGTTTTTGGCAAGCATATTTTTAAATTGGTGTGGAAATCAAAACCACAGTTTTGCTGTTCCAAGGTCAAGCTATTGTTAATTGTACTTTGGGGATTTCAACAATAGGGCACCAACGAGTTTTTTTTCACTATAGAATGCTAGTTTTGGGGTATCCCGGCATGCCCATGCTTTTGGACAAACCCACTTGGAGGCTCCGATGAAAATCAATGATTTGAGATCCAAGAACGGTCAAGTGCCTCAAGAATGCCGAGGAAATTGGGCTCGGTTCAACAAGTACCATGACCATATAGTGACGGACATATACTTAGAACATCATTTTTTCCAAAATTTCGGAACCTTTTCTTAGAACATCAAAACAACTACACTTAGAACATCAGAAATGTTCTAAGTACGCACTTAGAACATCAGAAAAACAGATACTTAGAACATCTCCTTTGATTTTTTGCATACTTAGAACATTAAACACACATATACTTAGAACATGTCCTGTTACTTTGGTAAATCTGCATATATACACACAAATACCTTGGTGAACACCATACTTAGAACACTTTCTCCCCTCACTGCTGCAGCATTCTATACCTTTTCTTCGGGAACAATATCCCAAGCAGTCTTCGCTGCAATGGGAAGGTCTCTAGTATATAATTTGTGGGTTTCCTACAGGGGGTAGTCAAAAAGCATAGGTTTCAATACTAAAATGAGCTAAAATGAATTATGTATAATTTTGAATGTTTTGGACGGACAAATACTTCGAACATACATATATGTATGGTTCCCATTGGTTCCCCACTGGGATGTTCTAAGTATAGCTTGGAAATGTTCTAAGTATAGGTTTTGGGTATGTTCTAACGACTTAATACTTAGAACATCCCCGCTGTGACGGTTTTCAGACTTTTTTTCCAAATGATGTTCTAAGTATTTGTCCGTCGCTATAAGGACATTTAGGTTCGGATGAAAAACTCCGCGAACCCCTGCGCCCCAATCCATAATCCTTCCAAGCTGAGATTCTTGTTGTAGCGATAGCACTTCGCTGGTCGCCGGCCCATGGTGTCAAGCTCTCGAGTTCCCGCAAGAAAGATGGCAAGAGAGTGGCCGCTCCAAGCCAAAAAAAAAGTGCGAATGGTCAATGGTCCAGTACAATGGCAGCCCCTTGCTGATCTTGCTGGTTAGACGGTTGGACGAATTCTTCCAAAAACATCATTCAAAACACCATGCATGTGCCCCGCAAGATGTTGACCTACTACGACCCACTCAGGGTGTGGCCATCTTCAGAACTGTGAACATCTTGGTCATAAAATGTCATAAATCAATATAATATGTTAAATCAATAAATCAATATAAATCAAGATTATATACATATATTATATATATACGTATTATAGTATATATATATATATGCCCAACAGTTTTGGGCAATATCTCATGCGTATGCAGCCAGCAAAATGCTGTAATGTTCGTTTGTTTGTTCACAAGAATGATTGAATGTGGACTCTTCCCGAAAGAAACATCTGGATGCATCTGGGGTAAATATATTTTTTCTGTTTGGTTCGTGCCTCACTGAAAAGACATCTTTTCTTGGCACTTCAAAATTTTGGCACACTTGACTGAATCCTGAAGTTCATTCTTCACACTTTTGGAATAGAACATTGAAACGCATCTTGTCACATTTCAGCAAAACCTAGATGAATTTGGATCTATTTTGTGATGCTCTTGGTCACCCCAAAACAGGTCTAGAAAATGCATGGCACAATTAATTTGTCTCTTGATATCAATCTAGCAGCTGTCTAGAAAATAACTTGATATGGAAGGATGAACTTGGTCCTGGGTATGGGGCTTTTTAAACATTCCCCAGGAATGACCCAGGAAGCGGACAAGAGTTCGATTGTTTTTTTTGTTTTCAGCCCTTATCTATCCTTATCTCTCTAGAAAATGGTCAGGTACATTTACATATAAAATTATGAAGGACCTTTTCGACTTTTCCCGAGGAAATGTAGGAAAATTGACTGGGCGGGAAGTTTCTAGCTAGAAAATGGGGGTCACTTGAGTTCTGTCATTCTCTCTAGGGAAATTTCAATGGGGATGGGTAAAGCATAATCCCGTCCGGCTTTCCAACTTCATTGATCCCCACATATCCGAAAAAACCTTAGCCTTAGCACGAGCCAAATTTGACCACTGGTGATGCCCAGGATCCTGATTTGGCTATGGCATGCTATGGCCGTATGATGTCGTGAGCGGCTCAAACTCGAGCCAACCCTCCAGGCCCTCCGATGTCGTACGGTGATTCATGCCTAGGATCCAGCCATCGCTCTTCGCTGCGGCCTCTTCTTGAGCCTTGGACCAAGGCTCCGTACGGTATCTGTCGAACCGGCGGCCAGCATTTATTTTGAACCAGCCGAGCAGAACAGCACGGCATAGCACGGCAAACCCAAGCCTTTTTCAAAACATGGAGTACCGTCAAATTCAATCTTTTCTCATGTTTTTTTTCATATTTTTTCTGCAATCAAAATGGCCAGTTTGAGATAATCATCTCATTTCCACTATTGGACATAGCCTGGCAGAAAAATGGAACCTGCATGCCGAATCAGGCCTGGCACCCTTGATCCACTGATCCCTGCAAGCGAGTCACTGCTTGCGAGGTGCTTGCGGGGCCATGCGGTTCCTGATGCTGGCCTTCATCAACGGCTCAATGCCTAAGGGCTGGAAATGCCTGGGACGACCTCCACGCAGGGCGTTACTCCAAAAAGGGCCATGGGACATCATGGGACCAGTACGCAGCATGTTGCATCATGGGACGCATTTGAAACACGCCGAGAACGCAGCATAGCTATATATACTGGCAAGTTGCCAGAGGCAAAGTAAAATCATGTAAAATCCTACAGTCAAAGAATGCGATAATTGCCCTTCAAACCTGGGTTATGATACCGGACATATAATATGATCAGAAACAAGCCATGACTGGTGCAGGCCAACTTTTTCGGATTTCTCCAGATTCAGTGTAAACTAAGGTGTCATGTAGGAAAACTTATGTTAGCAAAGCAATGGAAAATACACCAGCCATATTTGGATGGTCTATGTTTATACCACCTGGTAAATTTGAAGCTGGTTTATGAAATTGCTTTACTCACATTTGTCCAGATTGAATGTTATACATGTTATAAATACGGATCTCTTCATCACCTTTCATGGAACCTTTCAAATGTCCAACCATAGTAACTTTGGCAAAATCCATATGAATGCGCTATTTTCGCTGGTCAGCTGGTTCATTTAGGTCGATGTTTTACAATGATTCACCTATTCATGACATTCCAAGACTGGTCTTTTTTTCAATGTGCAAGGCGCTTGGAAGTCTCTTGAAGGCAGATTTCCACCTGGAGACCCCCTCAGACTGTTCCACTCGATCAATCTCTTTGTGTGTGTCGGCTCCCACATCAATCAGGGGTGCCTCAGTGTCGAGGGACATACCCTCCAGATCCCTTCATTTTTTTTCTCATTATTTTTTCGGAATCGAAATGGATAATCCATTATTTGTGGAACATTTTCCCTGGCAAGCCAGTGCTTGTCCATATGTTAGCTCACCCACATGTCATTGTTTGTGGCTTGTGAGGCTTGTGCACTAAAGCTTTAAGGCTATTTCATGGTGGCTTACCAGGGCTATCTCATGGTGGCTTAGTATGAATATATGATGCTAACCATGCTGACCCTCTGTTTTTCTACAAGAAAATTCATCAGGCCATCTCAAAAAAACTGAAATCAGTTCCAGCAGGAACATTGCCTTCCAACATGTTGTTTTCCATATTTCTGGACTAGTTTTTCGAGCTGTATCAGACTGTATCCCTTTGACTCTTTGTTGGCTGGCTGAAAAAATATGTATCATCAACCATCGTCAAATATATTTCAAATCAATGTTTAGCAGACTATAGAAATTCAACTTGTAACATCTTGTAACTTCACCCGGTATATACCAAACATCCTCGGAACTCGTTCCAGGGCACCCAAGATCATCCTGGCGATCATCCAAGTCACCGAGTGCCGCCGGTGGAAAGCCTTCTTGGCGATCGCCTCACTGGTCAGTCGTCATTTTTTGGCCCTCAAAAGGTTACCAAAAAAACGCCTGAAATCACCATATGTTTGGCCAGAACTTTCCCCGGAATGAGTTTGGCATTCGCCGAATTCAGATCAATCTCTTCGTTTCGGGGGTTCCATGTGCGGTGCTTCTTAGACAAGGAATACAAAGAACCATTTGTGATGGGTAAAGTCATTGAAGCAGTCTCAGATGGAGTTGCCGGAAGCAGGTCTAACAACATGTTGTAGCTGGAAATGGTTTCAATATGTTTCAATCAGAAATGATGGGGCATGATGGGAAAACACTCATGTTAGGGTTGGAACATGGGAGAAACATGGGTTTCTTTCACCTCATGTGAGTAAAAGTCTCGGAGTTCAGGGGTGACAGTTGAATAAATGGAGACACTGGGCGGGTTACTGTACTATATTGTATTGCACTATACTACTACGCAATACGATACTAATATATACTAATATATACATCATATAATCATATACTATCATAATCTATCATATACATTCATATACTAACTATAAACTATGCTGCCACAATGGTTGCCTACCATCATCCATATCACAGCTTCGAACACTGGCGGCCCTGTGGCTCTCACTTCCATGCGACCCATCTTCCGAGTGAAAAACATCGAAGAAAAAAACCTGTTGCCTGTGAACATCTCCAGTCTCTTGTCATTAATTCATTAATGCACATTCACATCATTCACAATCATTCGCAAAAGCCAAAGATAAATGAACCGAAACCTTCTGGATAGTCCTCAAAAACTATACCGAATTTGTTCCGTGGAATCCCGAGATCTCAGATCTCATCTGTGCCAAGGAACGACAGCTTCGGATGCGGGCTTCTCCTCAGATGGATGTGCGAGTGGGATTCACTGGTGAAGCTGGTACCCCTCAGAATGACTCACACTTCTTTATTTTTTTGCTACAAGAAAAGAATGATTTGCTCCACTTCAGAGGAAAACTTGGTTCCCCAACAAAATGTAATCCACGGTACTCCTTGAAGACATGGATTCAGAATCTACACCATCATGTCCATCCCTCCCAGAAATCGTCCACATTTGGCACTCTTGAAATGCCAGAAACATCTGGAAACCATGGCTTTCTCAACCTCCTGCACCTCAGAATCTCCACCAAATTCTGTCACTTAAATTCATTGAAGTCTTGGATGTCTTGGTGGAAAAACATGGGGAAACAACTCAACATCCTGCTGCAGGCTGGTGTCCTTGCTACTGTCCTTTCTGACGATATTCATCTCCATCGGAACCGGGCTTGGGCTTGTCGGTTGCCCTGGCCCTTTGTTGCCCTTGCTGGGCCTTGTGTCCGGGCGGCCAGTGGCCATCTTTGGGGCATGTCCGTGGCATACTCGATCTAGTTTCGACATGCTTGAAGCCGTTTCAACAACCGACTCTTTCCACTTCCAGCTTGAGGTGAACGGCATTTCCAAGGATGCCATCTTTTCAATGGACATCAATATTCATCAATGGAACACACTGCCCCAGCACAACGTGGCAAATCCGAAAAACTCTTGGCTGCAGTCAAGGAGCATCAAACAAACCCAACGCGAGTCTGACAAGAGTTCTGACGCCTCGATGTTCGCCAGCCTCGATAAAAATTTCTCTGTCGCAGCACAATGAGTTGGGACAAAATGGCAAACACAAGGGGCAGTGGCATTTGCAAACTGGATCAACCCCAGTGAATTCATAAATTACTGTATATCAGTGATTGATTAAAGGCGAAGACGCTGCTGCTTTGTCTTTGACCAGTCTGATGGTGAACCGTGGATGGTTTGTGAAATTTGGCTTTGCCACCACAGAACGGGACAACGAAAACGACATCGTGTCGTATCTGAGACTTTCTGCAAACATTGCTATAGATGTCTATCAAGTCGCTCCACGAAGTGTTTCTTCTCCGTGTGATGCTGGTGTAGAACAGCCAGAAACCTTAGCTGAGAGATGAGTCCCCCGATTTCACTTCAGCCCAAATTCTGAACGTCATCTGTCTAACATCATCATGTTTCATCTTAGTCATCCCATTCTCATCTAAAATCAGAGACTGTCCGATAGTTGGGTCATGAATTCCTGGACGCAAGTGAGGCCGCTATTTCACCCAGACGGCTGAACATTAAACATCTAATCTATTAATAACTTAATTCTTTTCACCATCGTACATGATGATCTTTTTAGGAAAAACCGAGGCAAATCTACGGCAGCTAAACGTAAGAAACTCACCCCATCGACTGCTGAAGCTACGTGGAGGTCTGGATGCAAAGACATTCCACCACTGTGGCGGCTTTGGCCGCAGCCATGTGGTTGTGAACGTTCCTGGGGACGGCGATGGTGAAGAATTGGAAACATGACCCAGCTAAAGAGGGTACATGTTGAATACGCATGGATCATGTAATGAATTATCAAATACATAATGTGTATATATATAATTATATATAATACATACATGCATGCAATGACATACAACATGATGTGTAAAGTGTACTTCACCTCCAATCCCCATTCTATGTGGACGTGTTGATTCTCAAAGTCAACTTGAACACATGATGAATTTGCTGATGTTGGAGCCTTAGGTTGATAGCCATTGGGCCATTGGTTGGTCCAAAATCATTTCATCAGGATCCCAGTGCTCCAAAACATGGTGAAGTTGAATCCAAACAGCCACACGGACCCCAAAAACTGCATGTTTTTGAGAATTTTCAGAAATTTCACCTAATTTGGTGTTCATTCACCAGTGCCACCCCCATCCACAACCCACATGTTATCACATGTTCAGACCGTTCAGACCCTGCCGGTCTGGTTGGTTCATGTTGTTTCAACCTCCATTTTTTGACGAACATAGTCGACATGAAACATCACAAGGTCAGCCCCGCACCGGGGTTAAATTTCGGTGCAGTTTTCGATTTCCCCTTTCGCATACTTAGCGTCACAAAGATCCAGGTGCCCAAAATGGACATAGGGCCCCAGTCATAGACCACAAGGCCGTCATCCTTTGAAAGCTCCACGTTCCCTTTCCACAGGATGAAAATCCTCCGATTTTCAGACCGTGGGCGAACATTCTGGCAAACTATCCGTCGATCTGTCTATCTGTCTGTCTATCTTTCTATCGGTCTATCTATCTATTTATCTATCTACCTACCTATCTATCTGTGTGTATGTGGTTCAAAAATAGTGTGTGAATATATATATATATACATATAAATCAAGTTTCCTGGGCAATTTCCTGACTCAACTGATTTTACTTACATAGGATAATAATTAGCGTGACATCTTCACGAAACTGTGCCATGCTCGGCCACACCTCGAACTCAAACCAACAAATATATAAATACAAACAGCCTGTATTGCTTTTGGACATGGGGTGCAGTCTGCCCAGCTTATCAGATCTTATAAGCAAATTTGGGCACGGGAGAGTCGACCATTTTTCGGGAGGGATTCGCACATGTACAAATTATTGGCTACGCAAATGTACGCAAGCATCGTGACATGGCACATAGCACATAGCACATAGGTAGTGAAGCGAAGCAGTGTTCTGGTATGCACATGTATTTACAGTAAAACAATGATTGAGAACCAATGTTGATCTGACCGTTTCAATCATTTTCAATCCATACCGACACCTGCTTCAGCTGCAGCCGGGTCACTCATCGCACTTGCCTCCTTTTTCCCAAAGTTTCCTGGGACATCTAGCTGATGGATGCTCTTACTGGCTCAAAATCAATATTACCTAGTTACCCCTCCCTGCTCACTGATCAACCATTTAACAAGGGACATGTATAATCTGCAGCAGCGGCTGGCCCCCTTGGTGAATATGTACAGTATCCTTGTTGGTTGAGACTTCAAGGCTGGGAGATGTCAGGAATGGGGATATGATCCAGTAAGAAAATTGCGAAACTTGGATATCTTGCATTTTGGCACCATTCATAGAATGACACAAACACAAATAAGAAATAAGCTCCAAACTGAGTGAAGAGTGCTACATCCGGCAGTTCAATTCCACACGATCGAAGATGTGCTATGCTGGGCACCTCGCACACCGGAAACCTCCGGGATCCTGGTGGATCCGGATCTGTCATCCCTGGGGGAATTCCCATGAAACCGACGGACCTCAAGCATCATCAACTGTCGGTGTCGGCCAAGTATGGCCAAGTGTCGTTCCAGCCTCCATCTTCTTCACATCACATTCCAGCAACATCTCTTCAACAAAGCTGCTATGGCAAGAAGCCTGGCTGGTTGGCCAGTGACAAGCAGCCAGGCGACCTGCAGGGCCTGGATCTTGATGGCTCATTTTTGCACTACAAATACTAGCATACATATCTCGATAGATAGATTAGATTGGGTTAGATTGGATCAGATTGGATTTGATATATTATATATTTGATTAAACCAGATTAGATAAATAGCACAAAAAAAACATGGAAAACTAAGATCCTGTTGAATAATGGTAAATTGCGCTTCTATCCTTTTGAAGTTAAGGGCTGCTACAATATTGTCCCCTTTGAAAAAATAGAGAAATGGGTTTGGTATATTCTTTATTATCATCTACCCATGTCCAACCACAAAGTGGCCCTTAAATATCCTACAAGCAAGCGCGTGAGCTTTCTATAAATTTATGGGATAACTTACATATTCTGCATGTGCCATGGCCAAGAGGCGAACGTTGAGCTCTTCAAAAGGGTTGCTTGGACATTGGCCATGCCACCCAACTGTGCCAGCTCATCACCTGAATCAAGAGGGATGAGGGCATCACATCTTTGTCTATATGTGGTACCATGGGGTACCGGTTTTAAGCAGCATGTTGAATATCTAAATATATATATATATAATATATGCGTATATATATGTATATATTTGCGTGTATATATATATATGTATATATATATGTATGTTTATATATGGTGGGGAGTCTTAAAATGGGATATCTCCAAAACCATGAGTTTCAATACTAAAATGGTCTATATGATGACTTGGATGATTTGTGGTACCACCATTTCAGGAAACCTCCACGTAGATATATACATATATGTATAATATATATATATAAATACATATTGATAATATATATATATATACATACATACATATTCATTTTTATATATATATATATATACACACCATGTACAGTAATCATTATTTTGAGGTAACCGCGGGAAAAAAGTCCTTGCAGGTGGGTAATTGCTCCCATAATGCCACGTGGAATGGGATATAATGGGGATAGTTGGTGAGATAGTTGATATGATAGAAATGTGTTTCTCCAAACCAATTAGATACCAAAAATGCCATAAATTTTGGTGGTACCCCCTTTTTGAGACAGACCCAATGTCTGAGCAATGTTGACACTAATGTGAATATCAACGTCAAGATCACGCATAAATCAAGGGACAACACATTCAAACACACTCGATGATTAGAGCCAGGTAGTTGCCTTCACTGGGTCTTCATGGTCAGCACACGCATGCACGCGCAACATGATCAACATGTTCTTTGAGAAAAAAAACTGTATCTGGAGTGAACATTTAGAAAAAACACAGCCAATCCCAAAATGGCATTTCATATACTCTAAGCAAATCCAAACCAAAAAAAAAAAACAACATAAACCAACACACAGTCCATAAGTCCCTATCAGTTCGAACAGCCCCAAAATAAACCAAACCTCATGGTATCGGATAGCAGCTGTCTGGCCCACTGGCCCACTGGCCCACTGCTGGCCTCTGCTCACTTCTTTGCTCACTTCCTGGACATCATAGCCCGGCATTAACGCCTTGGCACAGCGATCGCCCGAGGGTCTGCTTGGAAAATGGCCTCATTTTATGATGGCAGTTTTAGCATATGAAAATGATGATGAACCACGCGATTTGGATGTTTGCAGGCTATCCTCTTGGGTGAAATGTAGAGACTCGGACAGTTGCCCATTTTGGCCATGGCATCAGGGCATGCAATCACAGTCCGGAAATGTCCGGAACAAGGAGTCGATGTCACATATTCTATGATCAGCAACAGGGTTAAAAACCGCCAATTCCAATGGCTGGTTGGTGGTTTCAACCCCTCTGAAAAATATTAGTCAGAGTCAGTTGGGATTATAATTCCCAATATATGGAAAAACAATAATACATGATTGAAACCACCAACCAGCAATGGAGTCTATCATCATTTCCCCTAAGGCAATCGATCCCATGTTCAGACACAGCCTGGGCCATGATTGGCCAAGGGCCGCCGAGGGGCGAAGATGGATCTGCGCAGCACGCTGGATGCCCAGAACTGTACGCTGAAGAGCAAATAAGCAAATAAACAAAGTCCGATCTATTTGCGAAGGTCAATACATATGCATCTGTTTCAATCAACATGCCTATACTCACCGGTACAATTCAAATAGATATCATGCATATCTACGTAAACAACAAAAGTTAATTGGAGGTTACTGCAAACGGCGAGGCAGATTCTTCGTTGTTTCCCAAGTCTTCAATTTTGACCTACCTCGTCTTTTCGCCGGAACCCAAGTCAGAAAGGGAATAGCAACGCCTACAAACTCATTAATCCAAAATACACAAAACAAAACAATAAAGCTTTAAAATTGCATCAAAGAATAGTCAGCAAAACCTGCTGTTAAAAAATTGCCACCTGTTTTGCCTATGAAGGGCCTATGGAAACGTCAGTCCCGCCACTGAAGAAAAAAAAATGCGCGGTGGCAGTGGTGTCAAAACACAAGGCTTCTGGAACCATAAATAGATGAAAACATATGAAGACTGGTCACTTCTTACCTACTCGATCATCGAGTAGTTCACGGTGGGGGGCCTTTGGGTCGGTCCCAGCTATGATCCAAAATCTTTGGTTTTGGGGGTCCCAGTCCCAGCAGTCCCAGCCTCCCCGAGAAAAGGAATGAAGAGTCAGCTGGGATCATTGTACCATTTGTATCCATTTGTTTCATTTGGATTCATTTGGACATATGATACAATTTAAATCCAGATTGCATGTATTGATCGTGATCCCAATCGATGCCGGTTTAACTCCCCATAACTCCCTAGTCCCAAATGACCATGAATCAACTGAATCAACCACCCTAAATCCAATGTCGTTAAGTGCATACCATATATAGGTAGTGCCAATGCCAATATATTTGGTGTATGAAAAAAATATTGATGTATGATGATGTATGCATACTACAAATATATATATATATGCATATACACATACACTATACTATACCTCATAAACCAAAAAAATCAAGTCATTCTTGGCATATGTACGTAGGTATATAAAGATATGTCATTCATAACCCAAGGGTTACTATTCAACAGCTGTCATTCTTGAAAATTAGAAAAGCTTCCACAGCATACCCAGAGAATTCAGAAAAAAAACAAAAACTTCCAAACACCTTTCAAAAAAAAAACGTCCAAAACATTCAGGAAAATTCCAAAGAAACACTAGCCCAAAGTACCACATCATTGCACATAATTGCAAAACAAAAAAACAAGTCATTCCAAACAAATCCAAATCATTCCATTTGTTTTTTTAAACAAATCCTTCCAAACAAATCCAAATCATTCCAAACAAATCCAAATCAATCCAAAAAAAAGATCCAAATCATTCTGGAAAAAAAACAAGCAAAATCATTCCAAAAAACAACACATACCACACTCATATCAGAATTAATATGAAGTTTTTGGAATGTTTTTGAATGATAGTCTGACATCAGAAAACTATTTAATAGTATCCCTCTTGAATGGCGCCCCTATCCTCATCAAAGAATATTGATGTATACAATATACACATTATATATATACATATACATATTATATAAAATTATATATGTATAATATGTATGCATATATAGAATTATATAAACACATACGCTAATCGGCTAATCCCACCATCCCGGGAAGGTCGCGCTTTGAAAAGCGCTTTTTGGAGCCTTTCTCCACTGATCCCGACCCTGTGTGGGACTTGGTCAGGTGAGCTGTGGATTTCCGCCGCCAGGCGTTGAGTTTTCAACAAACAATGGTAGCAAACCTCAATAGAAAAGTAGAATCCGGACATGTAATCCTACAAAACATGATAAATCGCACTTTGATTTAATTGCTAATCTTTTTTGGGGTTACTAAACTATACTTGAATGGGCACCCCACTTAGTAACTGCATGCTAATCAGGCCGATTGTAGCTGGGATACATTTTGATTTCCCATAAATAAATGGTTAGGAACCGCGTGCTATATACAGTATATAGGCCGGATACAACACCAAGTAAGAACAACTTCTGATGACAATACCGCAGGGGTTTCACATGGTTTAACAGTTTAACAGCCACAACCTTCCGAGCATTGAAACCCAACAAGCAAACGGATCAATGGATTTTTATAGTCATTTATAGTCTACATCATTCTACATCAGTTTCTTTTCTTCTGTATCCATAGAATCTTCCTAGCTTGCTGTAACTTTCCCAACAAGAATAGGGTCAACCTCAGCAAACTGAAGACTCTTCGACTCGAGCATGGGAGGCTAGGGCGGCACCAAGGCACCAGGGCAAAAATCTGCAGAAAAATGGTGTCCAAACTTTGGAAACGCCACGCTTCTGGCAGACTCCAGCGGCAAAACGAAGCTCTTGAAAAAGGTTAAATATTACATACTTTTTACTATGTTTATTGTATTACTAGTGTTACTCATTACATTATTATCTTGATGATTGGTCATGATTGAATCACGTGCGATCAACAGCCAGTGTTGACATACCGTACAAAAACGTTCAACAAGTGTTGACACGTGGCAACATTCCGATCCTCATCCTCTCCCACCATTGCACGTATTTGGATCCTGTAGCCCTTGCAACACCAGGCGTGTCAACCGCAAATTTCATACTTCGGAGGCTTCAGAAGAATTCGAACCTAGAAGTCGAACATGAAAAAGGTCATGTTCAAAACCCACCATGTCATAAACTCATAGACCCATGTAAACCAAACAATGAACAATCACCCAAAGCCCCCATGCAATGTACCATTTAACCATTTGGGTGGGATTGTCAGCCTGTCAAAAACACCTTCCTTTAATTGAAACGCCTTACTGTCAAAGCAAAGGAGTTTTGAAGAATGCAGCGTTCCACCATGGTTCCCAATAAACATGGGGACACATCTCACAGCCGCTGCTAGCTGCTGCACAATTGTACAAGTCAATTTCGTTGCATTCAGGTGCCAGCCATTCCATAATCACTATATACAAGGTGGTGCCTCCCCTCATGTTGGTTGAATGCTTATACACCATAGCAACATATAGAACTATCTATATATATATATACCATAAACCCTAGTCATTCCACTTATACAGTTATTAACTCCAGCTTTGCAACCACGACCTGGGGCACCACAAACGATACTGAGATCCGTTGTATTCATGGCCAATTTCAGGACACCATTTTTGCTTGGTTTTTCGATAGAACTTGAGGCCAACCACACAGGGTGCTTAGCTTTGTGCAAGGACCAACATAGATAACATAATTATACCAGCATCGTTTGAGCTCAGCAGGTTGTGACCCAGGGTTGTGAAGCTGTGATCAAAAAATGGAAAAAACATAGCCATATCAATGCAGCGCAAGTTTCCGCAAATGACTAGCTCAAGTACAAGAATACAACAATGATAATGCATAGACATAAGATTCACATACATTCAGGGACAATATAGTTATATAGTTCTCAACAAAAGGAAGTTCAAT